GGGTTTGAAATAAGCCTTTGTGTTAGAGATTCTTGATGGTTTAGCTTATCTTCGCGCACCAATTTGGTGCAGTGGTTTCGCAGCAGTTGGTAATTGTTCTAGGTGCATGCATTTGGAAGTCGTTTGTACTTTCTCCAAGTGAGGTCCCTCAGAAATACAGTGCGATTGCTCCATCGTTTTCAGTCGTTTCGTCCCTCTCACCCGTGACCTTAAGCAAGCAAATTCCCTCAGACCCCTAATGCGATCTGATTGGATCATATTCCGCGATCTGCGGCGCTTAAAATCTCTCACACCAACACGATACTGTCTGATTACCGACTTGTACGTTTTGTAATGCTCTTGGTGTTACGTCCAGTTCATCCGAGTGCGGATGGCACTCCTGCTACACAGTCGAAGTTCACTGGGCCTGCCTGAGAATCACAGCTGTAAAAAAGGTTTCTCGCTCGGGTTAGCCGGGCAAGCACCAGGTCCCTTTTTGCGGCTGAACCGTTCGACCGACCGATAAATGAACCCGATCGGTCGTGTGATTTTCAGCCCGGCACAGGAGGAGGATAGGTTCCGAATCGCATGCAGCCTGTGCTGGTAGAGAATCACCCCAAGAGTATCAGTTGTGGAGCGGTGTGCCATGTGGGAAATTCCGAATGAAAAATGCTTAAGCGATTATGACACTGAACCAACGCTTGACTCGTCTAAGATACACGCACTATTTTTCGAAGCGGGTTCGGTAAACAGATAATCATAATAAAATTGCGAACTTGTCTTAATAACGGACAACAATATCTCCTAATGTAGGCCCACGTAAAACTCTTTTTGAATTTTTTCCAACTGGTTGCTTTTGCGTTGAACGAACTCGCTAACTACCTCTGAGATAGAATCCCGAAAGAAAGAAAAACAAATATTACGGGAATAATTATATTCATATCATAAAAGATGTTCCACATTTTTTCCATTCTGCTGCTTGCGTAGTAAAATCCGGCGAAGATAGTTTTCTTCCACCTTCAGAATGGTAGCAGTTGGAATACTTTCGCACTGCGCTACACTGCTCTGTTTAAGTTCCTCGATAGTTCTCGGTTTTCGGGAATAAACCGTTCGCTTCAGATATCCCCACAGAAAGAAATCCAAGGGGGGACAGAACAGGTGACCTTGGAGGCCATTCCTTTGGTCCTCCTCGACCAATCCATCTGTAGTTTATTTCCGTGTCCAGGAAACTTCTCACCATCAGAGCATTGTGTGGCAGTGAACCGCCATGTTGGAACCAAACGGGAGTACCAACTTCAGTTTCTATACGCCTGATGGCAGGTACCACATTATCTTGTAACATTTGCAAGTATGAAAAAGTACTGCCCAACAAACTTTGTTGGATCAAAATCGCTTCATAGTCCCAAGGTGCTATTATGGGCTGGTTTTGTGCACGGTAGGATTGACGGGCCGTACTTTTTCAATGGAAACGTATCAGAAAAGAACAGTTTTGCTTATTAAATTCCGAAGATCGCGGAATATGATCCAATCAGATCGCATTAGGGGTCTGAGGGAATTTACTTGCTTAAGGTCACAGGTGAGACGGACGAGACGATCGAAAATGATGGAGCAATCGCACTGTATTCATTTCTTTGTATGGCTTCGAATAGGTGATTTATGGCTGCTGGGTTTGGTAACAACTTTTACGCGCGTCACTGACTCTAGTGGTTGTTGCAGACTGTCAGTAAATTCTTGCCATACGACTAAAAGGCAGTGCTTTTCCTTATGAGATATCCATTGAATAGAAGGAGCCAATCTCTTTAACATTGCATAGTTTATGAATGTGCGAATGTTGTCTGGA